ACTGAAGTCTCGTTACGAGGTGTATCTGTTGTTGTGTGTTTCACAGAAGTCTCGTTACGAGGTGTATCTGTTGTTGTGTGTTTGACAGAAGTCTCGTTACGAGGTGTATCTGTTGTTGTGTGTTTGACAGAAGTCTCGTTACGAGGTGTATCTGTTGTTGTGTGTTTCACAGAAGTCTCGTTACGAGGTGTATCTGTTGTTGTGTGTTTCACAGAAGTCTTGTTACGAGGTGTATCTGTTGTTGTGTGTTTCACAGAAGTCTCGTTACGAGGTGTATCTGTTGTTGTGTGTTTCACAGAAGTCTCGTTACGAGGTGTATCTATCGTTGTGTGTTTGACAGAAGTCTCGTTACGAGGTGTATCTATCGTTGTGTGTTTCACAGAAGTCTCGTTACGAGGTGTATCTGTTGTTGTGTGTTTGACAGAAGTCTCGTTACGAGGTGTATCTGTCGTTGTGTGTTTCACAGAAGTCTCGTTACGAGGTGTATCTATCGTTGTGTGTTTCACAGAAGTCTCGTTACGAGGTGTATCTGTTGTTGTGTGTTTGACAGAAGTCTCGTTACGAGGTGTATCTATCGTTGTTTGTTTCACAGAAGTCTCGTTACGAGGTGTATCTGTTGTTGTGTGTTTGACAGAAGTCTCGTTACGAGGTGTATCTGTTGTTGTGTGTTTCACTGAAGTCTCGTTACGAGGTGTATCTATCGTTGTGTGTTTGACAGAAGTCTCGTTACGAGGTGTATCTATCGTTGTGTGTTTCACAGAAGTCTCGTTACGAGGTGTATCTGTTGTTGTGTGTTTGACAGAAGTCTCGTTACGAGGTGTATCTATCGTTGTTTGTTTCACAGAAGTCTCGTTACGAGGTGTATCTGTTGTTGTGTGTTTGACAGAAGTCTCGTTACGAGGTGTATCTGTTGTTGTGTGTTTGACAGAAGTCTCGTTACGAGGTGTATCTGTTGTTGTGTGTTTCACTGAAGTCTCGTTACGAGGTGTATCTGTTGTTGTGTGTTTGACAGAAGTCTCGTTACGAGGTGTATCTGTTGTTGTGTGTTTCACAGAAGTCTCGTTACGAGGTGTATCTGTTGTTGTGTGTTTCACAGAAGTCTCGTTACGAGGTGTATCTGTTGTTGTGTGTTTCACAGAAGTCTCGTTACGAGGTGTATCTATCGTTGTGTGTTTCACAGAAGTCTCGTTACGAGGTGTATCTATCGTTGTGTGTTTGACAGAAGTCTCGTTACGAGGTGTATATGTTGTTGTGTGTTTCACAGAAGTCTCGTTACGAGGTGTATCTATCGTTGTGTGTTTCACAGAAGTCTCGTTACGAGGTGTATCTATCGTTGTGTGTTTGACAGAAGTCTCGTTACGAGGTGTATCTGTTGTTGTGTGTTTCACTGAAGTCTCGTTACGAGGTGTATCTGTTGTTGTGTGTTTCACAGAAGTCTCGTTACGAGGTGTATCTGTCGTGTGTTTCACAGAAGTCTCGTTACGAGGTGTATCTGTTGTTGTGTGTTTCACAGAAGTCTCGTTACGAGGTGTATCTGTTGTTGTGTGTTTCACAGAAGTCTCGTTACGAGGTGTATCTATCGTTGTGTGTTTGACAGAAGTCTCGTTATGAGGTGTATCTGTTGTTGTGTGTTTCACAGAAGTCTCGTTACGAGGTGTATCTATCGTTGTGTGTTTCACAGAAGTCTCGTTACGAGGTGTATCTATCGTTGTGTGTTTCACAGAAGTCTCGTTACGAGGTGTATCTATCGTTGTGTGTTTGACAGAAGTCTCGTTACGAGGTGTATCTGTTGTTGTGTGTTTCACTGAAGTCTCGTTACGAGGTGTATCTGTTGTTGTGTGTTTCACAGAGGTCTCGTTACGAGGTGTATCTGTCGTTGTGTGTTTCACAGAAGTCTCGTTAGAGGTGTATCTGTTGTTGTGTGTTTCACAGAAGTCTCGTTACGAGGTGTATCTGTCGTTGTGTGTTTCACAGAAGTCTCGTTACGAGGTGTATCTGTCGTTGTGTGTTTCACAGAAGTCTCGTTACGAGGTGTATCTGTCGTTGTGTGTTTCACAGAAGTCTCGTTACGAGGTGTATCTGTTGTTGTGTGTTTCACAGAAGTCTCGTTACGAGGTGTATCTGTCGTTGTGTGTTTCACAGAAGTCTCGTTACGAGGTGTATCTGTCGTTGTGTGTTTCACAGAAGTCTCGTTACGAGGTGTATCTGTTGTTGTGTGTTTCACAGAAGTCTCGTTACGAGGTGTATCTGTCGTTGTGTGTTTCACAGAAGTCTCGTTACGAGGTGTATCTGTTGTTGTGTGTTTCACAGAAGTCTCGTTACGAGGTGTATCTGTCGTTGTGTGTTTCACAGAAGTCTCGTTACGAGGTGTATCTGTTGTTGTGTGTTTCACAGAAGTCTCGTTACGAGGTGTATCTGTCGTTGTGTGTTTCACAGAAGTCTCGTTACGAGGTGTATCTGTCGTTGTGTGTTTCACAGAAGTCTCGTTACGAGGTGTATC